TAGGCTATAGTTTGAGGTTGTAACAGTAATAGTTAGTCATATTAACTGTAGCTGGAGACTGTAATATCGCCAATTGGTCAGATATACCACATATATTATAGTTGATGGTTACAATAGAGTTAGTTTGTCACATAGGCAATAGTTAGAAGCTATAGTAGCATTTGGCCTCATAGTTGGTGATTGCAATAGTGTTAATTGAACACAGAGTATGTAGTTGAAAGTTATCGTAGCAGTTGGTCATATAAGTCATAGTTGGACACATTACTCGTAGGATGTTACACCGATTGGTGGTTGCAACCCTTCTCTGGAGTTACTATTTTACAATAAAGATGTCACTTGTCAGTATACAACACAAGGAAAAATACATGTGTTAGGAAAAACCTTCATATTCAGGCTACAATAGTCATAAACAGTGGTCTCCAAGTGATTAGTGGTTGATAGTGGCAAGTGATGACTGCCGACGGTGGTCAACGATGGTTTGTAGCAATGAAGTTCAAAAGTGATTGATGGGTTTTCATTACAGTGTTGTGCATTACTATCGTATTTGAAATACAATGTTAGCAAGTAGGGGTCACTGACGACGATGAGCAGAGACTGTTAACAGTGGTCGATGGTGGTCAACAGTTATAGAAACTATAAGTTATTGTCGGGTCTTCAGACTAGACCAGACTCTGTAATTCCAATCCCTCCTCCCTCCCCCCTCAAATGAAGAGATGGGGTTTATTTATAGGCTTTAGGAGAAAGACATTTTAGTTATTCAGTGAATAACTTCCACAACCATCTGTTTGGACAACTCATATTGATCCCTATAGACTATATGAGACTTTTTAATGATTTGAGGTCCTTAAGGACCTTAAAATTAAGTAAACTTAGGCTTGTTGGATGCATCTCCATGATACACTCAATTTAAATATAAATATGTTAAATTTGGAATTCGATTGACCATTCAATTGACAATTCAAAACCTCCAAATGTGCTTTTAAAGCTTGATCTGGGCTCAACTGGACTTAAATTGACACAACTTTTATATTTTTAGTTTTGTTTTGTTGAAACGATCAAAGTTTAACTACAAACTTGCTAAAATTTGGGACTTGGATAAGCTGGAATTTGAATCATAAAAATTTCTTCTCAAAAATGTCTTGAAGATTCACGTCAAATGATAAAAATTTATTGATGATGCATCAAGCATAATATTAATGGTGTTATGATTGACTGATATTCAACATATGTGCTACATTTAGTTGATATTGGATTCTGTATGATTTGTAATCCACTATTTTGTGTGACTTGTGCTACATTTAGATGTCTGATATGATATGCCCGCTTGACCACTATGATAAAGCCCATTATTATGGACAATTTATAATCCCACATTCTACGATTTTAAAACACTTCAATTTATCTAATATATATTTACATACATTCTAAACGATTTGTATGATTATAAAGACAATAGTCTGTTCAAGATCATCAATAATGAGAAGTGCAGCTCAACTAGTTGAAGTTGACCAGGTCAAGTAATAGTAGTGGTTTGACAAAGGCAGCCACAATTGACATTTCATATTACCTTATAAATTCCGATACCATGAGTCTACGAAAGATTAGATAGACTATTTTTAATTTTAATAGACGAATTTAGAGAATAATTTAAAAAAAAAAATGTAAAACCCAAAAATATGGAAGCAAGGAAATAATTTTGTGCTACTTGAGGTGTCAACAAATAATTTTTCCTTTTATAACGCAAAGTTTATATAGTCATGAAATAAGAACATAGATTCACTTTGTTATCAATGATGAATGAGAAATATTTGCGTACGTCTTATGTACGCAGAACTGCGTACGTTGGTAGATTACAGGGAGGGTATTGAGCGGTTATATCCACGTTATACCCCCTATAAACTCCCTATAACCTACAAATATATAAAAATAGAAGCTCGAAACTTACTAGTTACATGTAGATTACAAGAAAGTTACAGAGGATATAACACGAATATAACCCTCAATACCCTCCAACCTACCAACGTACGCAGCTCTGCATACATATTACGTACGCAAATATTTCTCATAATGAACAGAACTAACCGGCTTATCCAGTGCGATTTTTATAAAAGCTAATATAGTAAAATATTACACAAATAAAAACATTTAATAATGTATTACTAAACTCATAATCATATACCAATAATAGCACTCCGATAAAATTTCTAGAAAAGAAATTTAGGTAGTTATAATTGATATTGGCTATCATTTCCTAGCTGGTTTCTTCTATGAGATTTAGCAAAATCAATTTCTAGGGAGTAGATTTTCTGTAGGTAGATTTTTTAAAAAGAAGTTCATTTAAATGAAAATCATTGCAGCTATTCTATTTGAATGATATTCAAGAAAATCTCCAGGGGCATTAACATTCATACCACCCAACTCCTTTGTATTTACATATCTAACACCTGAATTTTACTTTGTACATTCATACCACCCTAATCTTTCACATCACATTAAAATTATCACCATTTTAACTTTAAAAGAAAATGAAATATACACTTTCATGCAGAGGTAACGTGGTGTGCATGTAAAAATTGAAGTATAGGTGTTGCAGATGAAATATACATAGACATTGAGTGGTATGTGCAAATCTTCAAAAATTCCAACAATGTAGAGAAGAGATTCGTGGCAATTAATAGACACTTACAAGAACAAGTTCGCTCTTCCAATGCTCTGAATCAACAGGAGCTCCATTCTCCAAAGACGCACTTTTTAAGAAAAATAATCAAACAAAATGAATATCAAAGTAAAATAACAATCAACGCATACAAACATCAGAGGTAAAGTTACAGAGACAATAAAATAATGGTGCAGTTACATACAAGTCCACCTGAAACATGCTATTTACAAATCAACCCCCTCATTCATCCACTTCTCAAATTCTCACTCAAATATCAAAATTCATGGCAAAAACTCAAGTCATGTTTTTCATTTTTATCAAATCCTCAATAGTTTGACCGTGAAACAAGTAAATGCATCGGTTCCACAGTTCAAAAAAATCAACTGGGTGGTTAATTTGTAAATATCAATGTTTCAGGTGATCTGCATGTAATTATCCCAAAAATGATACAATGAATATTTAACGTTACACGGAACAATTTCCAGCAAATGATGAACTAAACTATTG